AGCTCTCACTCACGGCAGCCTTCGGCTTTGGTTTCGGTCCCTCTCCTCCTCCTCTGTCTTTGCCCACTCCACACCCCCAGGCTCCTTCCTCAGCTCCCCTCAACTCTGTACCCTCCTTGCTGGTGTCTGTTGACCTTCTGCTCTAGGCCATCCCCCCCTCAGGTGGCCCCTGTGTGCATGCCCACACTCTCCACATCTCTCAGCTTGTCTCGCTCTCATTTGGCTCTGAGAGACCCAAGGTAAGGTCTTATGAGTGTGAGAGGAGGGGTTTTGAAGAAAGTGAGGAAGTCAGAGCCAGTGGAGAAGAGGGATGAGAGAGTGGGGAAAGAGTGCAGGGCAGGCTGAAAGTGTCCGTGCATGGGGAGCTGACTACACCCCCACACCAAGCCCCGTAACCATCCTCCTCCCGAGGCTCAGCTCCCTGGGTGCAGGCGCGAGAAGAGTAGGTCACTGTGTTTTCCAACACTGTGTGTTTGCCAGGGGCCAGAAAATGACTGAAATGTTTGAACCAGGAAGCTCAAGCATGAGGACAGGGAGGGGTTGATGCATAATAGCAAGTGGGCAGCAGAGGACATGAGGCGAGTTAGGCTGGAGGTGGCTCTTCCCTGCCCCCTGCAACGATCACTCCCTGCTTTGCACTCCTTTCTACCTGGAAAGACCTCTGTCAGCACACTCTGATACAAGTGTTACAAGTGTGTTTAAATGTCTTTCCCCTATTTCAATGATTTTCAGCCAGTTGGCACACTGGTGTGCCGTGAGAGGATCTCAAGATTATTTTCGAATGAAGTTCAAATTTGATCAACATAATTTAAGTATGTGTGGAAGTTTAACTATAGGTTCAAGTGTGCCATGAGAAGGTTGAAAAATACTGTTCTATACTCTACTCTACCACTCTGGCACTAGGCCAGAACAGGAATTAGATTACGAGCTTTGCTCAGCACCTCATGGTAAGAGGTGGAGCAAGTTTCTCCTGGGGGGGTGTGTGTGTGATCGTATTCTGTGGGATCTCGGCCACACAACCCAGCCCAAGCACTCTCACACTACGGCCCACAGGCCACATGTGGCCTGCCTAGGACATTTATCCAGCCTGCTGGGTGTTTTTGTTGCCACTGCCTGTCCTGCTTAGCAGCCGACTCGTCCCGGGGCCCACAGTCCAGCCCTCCAATAGTCTGAGGGACCATGAACTGGCCTCTGTTTAAAAAGTTTGAGGACCGCTGACCCAGCCTCTGCCCCGCCTATTGGTGCCCAATATTGTGTATGTAATTTTTTAGATGCAAGTAAAATATCTGCACAAATATAGCAAGATTAAGCCATTTTTAAAAAACGTTAATGAAATTTTACATTGTTTCAATGTTAATGAATACTATAAAAACCAAAGTCCTTTTGTTGATTTGAATGAATTAAAGTTATTTAAAATGGGGCATCAAGCCTCATTTAAACACAATAAATTACAGTATACTTCTAGGAAATTAAAGAAGCTGTAACAAATGTTCTTTCATTAATGAAATATCTGGAAAACTCTTGTGACTGTCAGCTCCTAGAGGGCAGGCAGTGTATGTGTTGAATTAATTTTATTAATCTGTGACTGAGCACTGAGAATGTAGCATTCACCAAGAGAATCCAGGAAGCACTAAAGACTGCTTCTGAGTAAATGCAGAAACGTGTCTTATTTTTATAGTTTTAAAAACACTACTTTTGTGGTTAGCCTTTCATTATCTTGCTGCCATTTGATAAAAATAGAAAAGTAAGTTGTTCTTCAAGATGAGCTCAGGATTAATTTTCCCAAAGTAAAAAAGAATCATTTTGGCCGCTCGAGAATTATACCTTACAACAGAGAACATATATTTTAAAATGGCTGTAGGACATTTAATGCTTATTTCATTTCCGTACCGTGAATTTCAAATCAAAAGGTATGGCACATTTGTGAACTGGGTCACAATGTCAAATGCTACAGGAACCTAAGAAATTTGACTAATATTGCTAATTAGAAATTTCTAATATTTTAAACTAAATGCTAATGGGCATATTCACACATCTGGATTTTCTGAATTTCTCTCTGCTTGTTGCATTTTAAAAACTACAGACAGGCTTCAAAATGTCCTGATCACAAAACAGACCCAGAAAAGGTGGGAGTACAGGGAGGGGGGGAGACACTGGAAATGCCGAGTCTCTGAAGGAACATTTGTTTTGTGTTCTAGGAACAGAATTAAGCCCCTGAACCCACATTCTATAATCCACACCACCTCTACCTTGGGCAAAGCTTGCAAAATACCAGAAGGATGCCAATGACCCAATCCCCCGTCAATTAAATTGGAAATACTTGATTATTTGGTAAAGGATAAGGAATAGCCTCAAACATTTTCATCTGCTCCAATAAATCAAGTTAACATGTCCAAATCAGAGATAGGCAGGATGGAATACACCTGTCTTTTCGTTAAGGGGCCCATTAGCAAATCTCATCACCCCTCCCTATTCATGGTTAGATTCACAATTGATTTATTATAAGCTGGGCCTGAGGAAAGAGGCAGACGACTGATAGTATTAGAAATGTCACTGGCGATTTCCTCTTCTCTCCAATTAAAGGTATTGCACTGTACACAGCAAAGTGAGTTTTTCATCTCAAGTACACAGTAGGGAAAAACAAACCTGAGAAAATTGTGATTGTTTTCATTAAGTATGGTTAACACAGGCAGCATACATTAGGGCAAAAGAAGAACAAAGAAAATATTTTTCCTTTCACAGTAGGAGAAAAGGTGAGACAGCAGTAAGATCTGTAATAAGTTGATAGACTTAATAAAATGGAAACGGAAACATACCGACCCATAGTGAAAGGGGAGTCAGCTTGATACCAGGATGATAGATCTAGCCAGTCTCAGGTGAGTTTCTGTGCTTTCCAAAGGCCTCCCAGAGGAAGGTATTAAGTAGTCACATCTTTAAGACTATGTACGATTATGGAAGGGAAACACCACCATCCTTTTACAAGACAGTTTTACAGCCAAAGATATAAAATAGTTATGAGAAATTCACACAAAATTCAGAAAATGTAATGCAAAAGGTAGGAATATATACGTTAACGATATATGTAACTAAATCAATGCAAGGCATGTACATTGGAAGAAAACATAAGCTGCATTGATTTCATAAATCCATCATTGTTTCGTTACCTAAGTCAAGTGCAGAGCTGTTCCGTCTACTAGCAAAGACTTACCTGGGGCCCACTTTGAAACTACTACAGCAAGGCTAACAGGATATAGTCCTGAGTGTTATTTTCTTCACTGTTGAAATATTTATATTAAAAAAAAAAGAAGGAATAGTCACTAGGTAAATGAGGTTCTAATCTAAATAAATCTACATGTACTAACAGACACGCATATTCCTGTTGTTTATTTGGTACCAGGACCAGTAATTGTTGGGTTCACCTCATTTGTTCCCTTCCTTACTTAGTCCTAATTTAATTTATTGAGCACTTAAACCCTGATGTGAGCTAGGTTTTGTCACTTAAAATCAGCAAATTGGTAACAATTAAGGTGCTGAGAAGCTGAGATTGTGACTATCTCC